GCTGGCTGGCATGTGGTGCTGGGGGATTGAACCGTGGTCCCTGTGCTTTGCTAAGCTTGTTCTAAGTAGGTGCTTTAGACCACTGAGTCATCGCTCCAGCCCACTTGAGCTACTTTTAAAAGCCAATAGAAAAGAATATTTATTAGGCCATGAAATGTACTTGCTAAGTGAAATATGCAAGCATAATAATTTTTACCTGTTCCAAATAATTTCAATTTTCCAGATCACAGGCACGGTGAACACAATCACTCTGACAATATTGATGAATGTATATCAACAGGTTTTCAGAGAAGACTGAAAATAATAACTTGGACAAGAGAATCCAGATGATAAATTACTCAATAGCCATACCAAAAAGATATGAATTACTTATTTGGAAGGCAGTTGTACCAATGTATGTCTAATCAGGGGACAGAAACTAGAGTGTAATTTTGGTAGGCCAAGTTCATTATAAACAATTATTAGCTATAAAATAATGGTTCATTAAGGGAAGAAAGGGAACTGCAGGAAAGCAGACTAAGTAGAAAACATCACCAAGTATAGCTCCTACTTCCACAATTCCCTGGCAGGATCTGTATTGCATAACTATTTTGTAACTCTTGAGGTCTGTTCCTGGGCTTGCAACTTCCAGGGGGTTTTGATGATACACTGTGGGTAATTTTGACCAATTTCAGCTTTTCGCAGAGTAGCAAATACCACCCTCCCTATCCCCAGTGGCAGAGAAGGCAGCACTCCTGCCCCTGGGGTGGCACACTTGAGAATTTGTAGGAGCCAAGTGAATAATAAAGACCTTGCCCTCCAAATATTGATAATCTGTGGGCCACTGTGACAGACCTCTTCCCTTCTGCCTAAAGCAACTTGTCTGGGAATTTAAAGAGCCCTTTTCTTCTTTTTCTTTATTCTTCCCACTTTTCTCCCCTTGCTTGTTTCTTTTAAAAATTTTTACAGTGTAGAGCATTCAAATGCAACTGCATGTACAAGGAAAGTTAGAAAGTCACCACACATACATAGAGGAAACCACAGCCTCCTAAAACATTTGAGAACACCTTAAAGTTTGTGCTTGAGGCAGATCCCTGACAGGGGCACAGCCAACATCATGAAACAAAATAGACAACATAATCACAAAATAAAAGCAAAAATTATCACTAAGCATAATAGTGGGGCATGCCTGCAATTCAAAAACACTTAGGAGGCTGAGGGAGGAGGATTGCTGTGAGTTTGAGGCCAGCCTGGACCACACAGTGAGTTCAGGGCCAGCCTGAACTATATAGCAAGACCCTGCCTAAAAAAAAAAAAAAATCAGAAAATCCTGGGATGGGGAATGTATTTCCTGACTTAACTAAATTAAAAAAGAATATCACAAGGCACATAAAAAACTTGGAAGCATTTCCCTTTAAAATGGGGAAAAATAAACCAACAAAAAATATTCCTGAGACAGAGCAAAATGCATACTTGCTTTAAAATACAATTTTAAAGATGCTCAAAGGACCACAGGAAGGTATAGAGAAAGCCTAGAAAACAATGTATGAACCAAAAGGAAATAACAATTAATGATTTGAGGCACTAGTGGCTACATTCTCACAGGTTTTGTGAAGAAACTCGCTCTAGAGCTTTACAATTCTGAGGAGAACTAGAGAAACTTTTAAAATTTTGTTGAGAAGAAAAGCCTAAAAAGTACACTAAACACCTTGAATATAGTTCATAAACTTGTTGGAGAAAAGCCATAAAAAATAGTTATAACTACATCTCAGCAAGTTGTCTATTAGAAATGCTGGTCAGATCTTGTATTGGCTCTCCTCCACCATAATGAATACCTGAGATAATCCCAATACCTATACAAAAATGGTTTAATTACACTTACAGTTTCGAGGTTCCAGATCGGTTTGGCTGGCTCATTGTTCTGAGTACTCGCTACATCATGGTGAAGATACATGGCAGAGTAAAACCACTCATCTCTTTACTGGAAAGTGAGAAAGGAGAGGCTAGCACACTACAACCCCCTCTTGGTCTCTCACTCACTGAATATGACTCATGTCACAGAAGCTGTAGTCCTGTGCATTCATTTAATTCTGTCATGACAATTAACCTCAGTTATCAACTTGATTGTATAGAGATACACTGAGAAAGCACTCTTCTAGGTGTGTCTGAAAGTGTTTCCAAAGGCAGACTGACAGGAAAGACCAGCCCTGAACCTGAGAAGCAGCATTGAAAGAGCTGAGGGACTGGGTGGGAAAAAAGCAGGAGGGGCAGCTTGAACGCTCACCAATGCTCAGCCTTCATGAGCCAATGCCATTTAACTGCTGCTGTTGCCCATGGAGGTCAGATCCCAGGTTCTTCAGCCTTTGAACAGAGACCTGCTCCAGCATCCCTCCAGTCCCACATGGCCTTCAGGTGAGGACTAGTGCTGCAGGGCATGTGTCAAGGGCACATCTTCACTGTTGGGATGCCATCTCCCCAGAGAAACACTTGTATAAAAAATATACCGCAAATTTTAGATTTAGGTTTCTTCAGAGTCCTACTTGGGCAACTAAAGATTGTGAAATCCACTGTGTGGTTAATGTACTTCCTCTGTCCTTGATAGTCTTGTTCTTGTTATTCTAGTCCTCTTTTAGCACTGTGATATCTAATCTTTGGAGCTTTCAGGGATACAACCAACCTCAACATGCAGGCCATAGGTTCACCACCAATGGTAGGATAATGTTTAGTTCAAAAGGTGGCTCTAGGGGTAGATCTAAAGTAGGCCTTCTTCCCTTTCTCCGACAGTTTCCTTAGCTACCCACCTCCTGCTTCAATGCTGAATAAGTATGCCTGTGATCATTAATTGTGATGTATCAACTTGACTTAGTAATAACTGCCCAGCAAAATAATAAATTCTGGGTGTGTATATGGGTGATTGGTGCTTAGGACAGCAAACTGAGGGGGAAGAACCAACCAGATGTGGATGGCACCAACAGGTTTGTAACTTGGGCAGAATAAAAAAGGAAAAAAGCATTTCTCTTTCTTGGAGGGGCGCTGGCCTTTGGCATCACCTTTGGGTGTTGGTCTCCAGTTGGTGTTGTGCCTTCTAGCACAGACTCTTCAGCCTGCTGGTACTCTGCCAGGAGCTTCTTGGACTTCGACCTTCGACCACAGCTAGATGCTCTGCTCTCCTCCAACGTGCAGACAGTCATTTGGATCCATCCACTCCTGAGCCTGAGTCACTGTAACTCCTCCACTTCTGATTCTGTGAACCTACCTCATAAATCCTTTTGTATAATTAGACATATAGTTTATATTGATTCTGTTCCTTTAGAAAACTCCAACTAATACAATATCTTCTTTTTTAAATTAAATTTTAAAAAGCAAGCATTTAGACCACACACTCATGGTAAGGGAACCTAGCCAACATTTATCAAAAACAGTAGAAGTTGTCTTATAGAAAAAGATAGCCAGGTATCAACAGTTATAGAAAGGAAATACAATGGAAATTTTTATCAAGCTGTTAAAACTGTTTTCTTACAGGCCATAGATCTTGAATAGCCTCCTAATCAGTCATGTAGACAATTTTTCATGTATTTCATGTATTTGGCTTCCACTGTGGGAAGAAAACTAACTCTTTGCACACTTGCTTGCACTTTTGCTATGTTTTCTGCAGAACCAAGTCCATTCTGTTTGGGAAGGGTTTCCCCTACTTTTTTGTACAGTTCTTGGTCTTTTGATCTTGGTGTTGGTGGTTTTGAAACTGTTCTATCTGGTTTTATTTTTACAAATTTTTGGCTAGAGTATCTTGTACAGATTTCCTTGCTGAGGCTTTTTCTTTAGTCCCTTTAGCAGCAACAAGTTTTACTTCTTTCTGTGGCACCTTGGGGCTACTTTCAGGGGAAGACTGCTTTCTAGGTTCTAGAATTTCACAACCTGCTCTTCATCTTCTACTCTGCATTCCTCTGCAGCTAAGGGCTGTGCTTAATTCTCATGGACTCAAAAATTCGCTTCAACCTGAAGAACACAGGCAGTGTTATTTCAAAGCACCCTCACCAAGTGGAACTTTTACTTATGTAGATGTTGTCAACACTGTCAGTGTTGCTTTAATTGGACAACCTGCAAAATCCCTTGCCTCTACTTCAGAAATGTGCAATTCCTCCCAAAATGGCCAATCCTAAAAATAGCTGGTACTCATCCTCATTATTATCTACTTTAAAGTAATCATCTTTTCAGCCTTTACTTCAGAAACTTCTTTTGGGATGTACTTAGTCAGAATGAATAAAATCATTTAAGAGGAAAGAGTTTTGAACGGGCCAGGGTTATGGGAGTAGAGAAAGTGGAGTTAGAGCAAAAACTACAGATATGGAAAGAAAATAGACAATAAAGATGCAGGGAGGTGGAGGGAAAGGAAGTTGGTGGAAGGATAGAAGAAAGAAGCTCACATAACCTCTAGCAAGAATGCTCACACCAGAGAGTGCTTGGAGAGGGCAGGAGAATGAACAGAGAATTCAAAGTGTTTAGCATTTGTTTTTAACATTTTTTTTTCTTGTGTCTTACTAAGTCTGCAGTTTTGCATAGTTGCTAAACACTGGTGAGACGAAATTGTTCTTCAGTCAGATTTCAGCAGGCTGGCTTGCCGTAGGCAGTTTCCATACACAGAGAAGAGGACATATGTACAAGCCTGGCTGCTTCTTGGTTATTTCTATGCAGTCCTGCTCAACAGAATATCCCCAGCGCATTTCACTGCCTATGTTCATTTGCCGCTACTGCTGCCAGGAAGCCTGTGAGTTTCCTGGAATGGCAAGAACTGGCCCAGGAAAGGAGAGATTGGGCCTCATGCAGATTAACAACAAGTGGGTGGCTCCTCGTGAGGATGTGGTTTTACCTGACAGGTTTCTAGGGATCTAATAACCAGTTTGTGGGCATTCCAGCCTGTGGCACTAGTTAGGTACTGTGTGCATGTGTGGCAGCTCCCGAAGTTCACCATCATGGTGAATGACAAGTTCATCATCCAATCCAAGAAACATTTCCTGAATGCCCAGGAACTGCGATGGATTTGGTATGCATCCTATGATGCCTCACTTTCCTTTCTGTTGAAAGTGTTCCTTTCTGTTTGATTGGATCCTGGGTTGCAATTGTCTTGTGTTTTTTTATATCCAGAACTTGATAGAACTCACTAAAAGTACTAGTGAGATGAATTCTCCTGGAGGAGTCCAGCTAACATCAGGGTATCTAACTACCTCAGGCACATGAAGGTGGCACAAGGTGAAGGATCCAAAAGACTGAGGGAGTCTGGAAAGGCATTTCTTCCTGGTGCTAGGCTGGCTCTTCTAGGGTCCCGGCAGTGTGGGTCTTTGCAGCCCTCACCTCCCTGCCCTGGCCCTGACTTTCATGTTCCTCCCACAGGTGCTAACTCTCTTTGCCTCAATTTTACTGTTAAATCTCTTTTTAAACCTTCACAGCCCAGATACAAAGTACAGACCTCAATAGATAAGACTTCTTTCCTTAAGTGTGACAGTGACAATGACAAGGGAAACCCTTTGGGTCTCCCAAGAGAGAAGGTAAATAGCACCAAAGCATGGAGAGAATTGCATCAAATGCTGGGAGACATAGGGAAAAAACTCAGGATGATTCTACTGAACATCAATCTTGAGAAAAACAAGATCATGGGTAAGTATGAGGCAGGGTGGGGAAAGAGACAGTCAGTGAGAGGAAGGGGCAGAGCCCATGTAGGCAGGGCCTTTGGTATATTTGCATATAAAAGTTAACATTGGCCCAATCCTAGAGACACACAGAAATGAATGGGCAAGAAAGAGCTAGTCAGGAACACAAGTTTCCCAAATGTGCAGAGAAATACGTGAGAGGAGATGTGTTTATCAAGTGGGAAAGTAATGGTTTTGTGTGTGGACTGCAGGTCCAGATTTTTTTTTTTTTTTTTTTTTTTTTTTTTTTGTCAGCATGAAGAGCAATCCACTGCTGCCTTCTTGCAGGGCAGCATTAATGGACAGCTTGAAGTGATGAACATGAACTGGATGTGATTAATCCTGGAGCCAGAGAGATAAAGGAGGTGTGGGCGAATGACCAGGAACTCATACAGTATTTCAGGAAGATCCTCATAAGAGACTGCAATCACTGGCTGAAAAACTTCTTACAGCACCAGGGGAAGAAGTGCCAGGTAGTTAACCGAGTTAACTGAATTACCATGAAGTAACTCAGCAGGGTGGAAATGATGTAGAAGCTCTCTTTAAAAGTGACTTTCTTGGGGCTGGGGAGATGGTTCAGTAGAATAAATGCTTCCCTGACAAGCACAAGGGCCTGAGTTCAATCCCCGGTTCCACCAAAAAATAAATAAGTAAATAAATAAATAAATAAATAAATAAAATAAAGGTGACTTTCCTCGTACATGTCAGCATGTGTGTGGGATGCAAAATGTGATGAATGGAATGATTCCTTTGTATTATTCCTGGCTGGAGAGTCTGTGATAGCCATGGGATTTTTCACCATCCTACCATTCCCATCTACCCTCCCAATGTTTCCCTTCAGCACAGGAGCTCCATTCACCATTACCCAATGACCTAGTCACTAATAGCCCTAACTGGTCCCCAAAACTACATGTGTCACTGTTAACTTCCAGGCCTTCTCTTTTTCCTCTGCTATAGTCGCTCCTCAACTGGCTCCAAAGTCACTTCTTATGAAGCTTTAACTACCTTGCCCAGATAGAGCTAAGCACCACAAACAGTGCCAATCTCCATAGAATCCTAACCACAGTGAACATGTCACATGTGTTTGTGGCAATATGAGCTCACAGAGCACCTGGTGCACCCCCAGGATCTGAAGAGTAGTTGTCACATAATGAGTCAGCAAATATATGGGTATCATGGACTGCCAGGGAGAAGGTGTGACAGGATTCTTTCTTTCTTTTTCTTTCTTTCTTTCTTTCTTTCTTTCTTTCTTTCTTTCTTTCTGTCTGTCTGTCTGTCTGTCTGTCTGCTCTAGTATCAATATTAATCACCACAGATATTGCCCAGTTTCCTCCTCTCCAGGAGATGGCATGGATCATCCCATTCCCCAGTAGTAGTTGCATTTTATTATGTTCATTAGGAAAATATCAGACACCAGTGTAGGTAAGGAACAGATTAGGCTCTGCCTTTTGAGAAGATCTTAGCCTGGTAAGGACTTGGGAACAGTGTCCCACTGTCTCACCCATAACCCCAGACTGTAGTATCTCTCTGTGGAAATCATGCTCTTTCTTAGTGCTGAGGCCCCATGTGCTCCACAGGAGAGCTGAGGATGACTCTGTTGTTGAGGTATTAGGAGGCCAGCATTGGACCCACAACAGTGCAGGGAGAGGAAGGACATAACAGGAGTGTTGCCTGAAGTAGGGCATGGCCTAAGTTCTGGAAAACTGGTGTGGGGTGTTACCTTCTCACAATCTAACCCAGGCTTCCCAAGCTCCTTAATCAAAAAGTTATTTACTCTACAAGGATAACATGATCTAGGTCAATAATTTTCCTCAATATTGTAGAAACTTCAGCTTAAGAGCACCTCACTTTCATGAGTTCTTTCCATGACCCTTGAAGGTCCCTTGTGATGTTCTGACCAAGAGAATAATATAACTTCAAACTCAGCTTTAAGAGCTGGCCAAATAGCTCAGTGGATTAAAGTATCTGCAAGCGGGCACTGGGGCTGAGGGTTCCATCCCCAGGCCTGCCATGCCGGCCCCACCCCAGCATGCGCTGAGACTGGAATTGAGACTGGGTGTGGTGGTGCGCCTGTAATCCCAGCTCTTGGGAGGCTGTAAACAGGGGGAATCACTATGAGTCCGATCTAGTAGTGAGACCCTGAACACTTTGTAGACCCTTCCCTAAAATACAAAAACAAAACAAAACAAAAAACCCCCTCAGCTTTAAAGAAATCTAGCAGATTCTAGAATATACAAGGAAACAAAGCAACATGCACAAGAAAAATTAGATCAAACAGATCTGCAAAAAAATCTGATACTGCTACCATTAGATATAAAATATGTTTAATGTGTTATTTGTTAGAAAGAGTATTGATATATGAGCAAGGCTTAAGAAATGTGAACAATCACATAACAGATTTGGAAAAAATTCAACTTATAAATTAAGAGGGAAACATTTGATGGATAAGGGGCAAAGCTTTTCATTTGAAATTAAAATGTAAAAATTTAGTGGATAAGAAACAGGATCACTTTTGGAAAGAGGGGGCCAGCAACCTGAAATGGGGAGGTAAGCAGGCCTAGTACCCTCCATCTGTCTGTGGAGCCTGGATACTGGGGTTTCTCCCTAAGGGTCATATTTTACACCTTTTGATACCACAGCAGAACAAGAACAAGAGGTTGATAGAAGATCTGATGAGCTACTACATAGTAAAAAGTTACAGATAATCATAAAGTACTACATGCATTTTTTAAAAGCTAGAAGGCTTTAGAATATCCTCATAACTTTCTCTGATTTGAATGTCATACAGTTGTCTCAGTTATTCTTCTCTTGTTGCTAGGACAAAATATCCAACACCCAAAATGAAGAAAGGAAAAGTTTATTTAGCTCACAGTTAGTGGAGGTTTCAGACCATACTCAGCTGGCTCCAAGGCAGAGCAGCACGTGAAAGAGGGCAACTGTTCAAGGCAGTGGCAAAGAGCAACGGAGGGGCAGCAGCTCAGGAAGCTAGCAAGCATCTCTCCCCTCCTCACACTGTAATGTAAATTATCCACTCCAGGGCCAGGGAGTAGCACTCACACCTGCAGTCCCAGCATTGGATCAAGAACCAATCAATCACAAACTCCAGAAGCTGCCCCATGACTGCATGAGGCTTGGGGGGACAACTAGATAGCATAACAACAATGTATATCTGTATTTAACCATTATATAGTATCCCCTAAATATGTGCAATTTCGTGTGTCAGTAAAAAATAAATTTAGGCTAAAATTTGAGAGGTTAAAAAGCATTTAGAAACTTTTGACTTCTAATGAGTACATGGATCCACTGACATTTCAGAAATACATCTTGACCGGTCCAGAAGCAGTTGTCAGGCTCCTTCCCCAGTCTCCATCTTCAGTTCACCTGCCTCCCCTCCAGCCTCCACTATGTCCATAAGGGTGACCCAGAAGTCCTACAAGGTGTCCACCTCCACCCCCCGGGTCTTCAGCAGCGTCTCCTACACCTGTGGGCCTGCTTCCCGCGTCACCTCCTCCAGCTTCTCTGAATGGGCAGCAGTGGCAGCTTCCAGGGTGGCCTGGAGCTGGGTGGCTATGGTGGGCTGGTGGTGTGGGAGCATCATGACCATCCAGGTGAACCAGAGCCTGCTGAACCCCCTGAACCTGGAGATGGACTCCAACATCCAGGCCATGCATATTCAGGAGAAGGAGCAGATCAAGAACCTCAACAACAAGTTTGCCTCCTTCATCAACAAGGTTTGGTTTCTGGAGCAGCAGAATAAGATGCTGGAGACCGAGTGGAGCCTCCTGCAGTAGCAGAAGACATCCCGGACAGAGCCAGCCCCTCTCACTAGGACACCAAACGTACTCAAGTCTTTCTGCTTCCTCACAAGCACTTCTTCACCAGCGATGGCTACCTTTGTGGAGCTTAGCACCAATGTCAAGATGCCCATCGTGGGCCTCGGCACTTGGAAGTCTCCCCCAGGCAAGGTCAAAGAAGCCGTGAAGGCAGCCATCGATGCAGGGTATCGCCACATCGACTGTGCCTACACATATCAGAATGAGAATGAGGTGGGAGAAGCCATCCAAGAGAAGATTCAAGAGAAGCTCGTGAGGCGGGAGGACCTCTTTATTGTTAGCAAGCTGTGGTCCACATTCTTTGAGAGGAGCCTGGTGAAGGAAGCCTGCCGGAAGACCCTGAAGGACCTGAAACTGGACTACCTGGACATCTACCTCATTCACTTTCCACAGGGACTTCAGGCTGGGAAGGAACTCATCCCCAGAGATGATAAAGGCAATATCCTCTCCAGTGAAATAACATTCCTGGATGCATGGGAGGTCATGGAGGAGCTGGTTGATGAGGGATTGGTAAAAGCCCTCGGTGTCTCCAACTTCAACCACTTTCAGATTGAAAAGCTCTTGAACAAGCCTGGGCTGAAATATAAACCAGTGACAAACCAGGTGGAGTGTCACCCATACCTCACCCAGGAAAAGCTGATCCAGTATTGCCACTCCAAGGGCATCACTGTCACTGCCTACAGCCCCCTGGGTTCTCCAGACAGACCTTGGGCCAAGCCAGAGGACCCTTCACTACTAGAAGATCCCAAGATTAAGGAGATTGCTGCAAAGCACAAAAAAACCACAGCCCAGGTTCTGATCTGGTTCCATATCCAGAAGAATGTGGCAGTGATCCCCAAGTCTGTGACACCAACTCGCATTATTGAGAATTTTCAGGTCTTTCACTTCAAGTTGAGTGATGAGGAGATGGCGACCATCCTCAGCTTCAACAGAAACTGGAGGTCTTGTATTATACCTGGTATGTCACGTTTGGCAGAGTATCCTTTCGATGCCGAATATTGAAGCTGAATCTTCTGCTTAGATGACCAGAGGGATACTGCCTTCTCTGTGTGGAGCTCACTTCCTGTGAGATCTGTTTCAGCCAACGTTTCAGAACCCATGTCGTGCCTCAGCTCTTGCAAGCAGACTTTAGGCAATGCTCTATTGGTAGAGCCTGTGTTCGGTCAGTAGTAGACATCATGGCAACGCGTGACTCATGAGAATTTTTTTTTCTTTTTACTTATTTGTTCTGTCCAGATGTTTGTTAAATGCCAGGATCCCTACTAATATTGAGGATGCAATAATAAAAATAATAGAAAATAAAAAAAAAAGAAGACGACATCTCGGAGTAACATGGACATCATGCTCGAAAGCTGCATCAACAACCTCAGGTGGAAGCTGGACTCGCTGGGTCAGGAGATAATGAAGCTGGAGGTGGAGCTTGGCAACATGTGGGGGCTGGTGGAGGACTTCAAGAATAAATATGAAGATGAGATCAACAAGTGTAAGAGATGGAGAATGAATTTGTCCTCATCAAGAAGGATGTGGATGAAGCTTACATGAACAAGGTGGAGCTCGACTCACGCCTGGAAGGGCTGACTGACGAGATCAACTTCCTCAGGCAGGAGTATGAAGAAGAGATTTGTGAGCTGCAGTCTCAGATCTCGGACACATCTGTGGTGCTGTCCATGGACAACAGCCGCTCCCTGGACCTGGACGGTGTCATCGCCGAGGTCAAGGCCTAGTACAAGGAGATCGCCAACCGCTGCTGGGCGGAGGCCGAGCGCATGTTCCAGATCAAGTATGAAGAGTTTCAGACTCTGCCTGGGAAGCATGGGGATGACCTCCACCACACAAAGTCCAAGATCTCTGAGATGAACTGCAGCATCAGCCTCCTGCAGGTGGAGATTAAGGCCCTCAAAGGCCAGAGAGCATCCCTGGAGGCTGCCATCGCTGATGCCGAGCAGCGTGGGGAGAAGGCCATTAAGGATGCCAATGCCAAGCTAGCCCAGCTGGAGGTTGCCCTGCAGAAGGCCAAGCAGGACATGGCCTGGCAGCTGTGCAAGTACCAGGAGCTCATGAATGTCAAGGCAGCCCTGGACATGGAGATCACCACCTACTGCAAGCTGCTGTAGGGCGAGGAGAACAGGCTGGAGGCTGGGATGCAGAACTTGAGCATCCACACGAAGACCACCAGTGGCTATTCAGGAATGGTGAGCTCACCCTATGGGGGCCTCACAAGCCCTGGCTTTGGGAGCCTCCAAAGCCCTGGCTTCACCCGCACCAAGTCTGCTGTGGTTGTGAAGAAGACTGAGACCTGTGATGGGAAGCTGGTGTCTGAGACCTCTGATGTCCTGCCCAAGTGAGTGGGCCGCAGCAGCCGCTCCCAGCCTGTACCTCTCCTGAGGTTGCCCCAGAGCCCGTCGGGAGACAGCTGTATAAGGGAGCACTGGGAGCAAGAGACCCACCTGAGGCTCAGCTTAGCCCTCAGCCCACCCTTGGGGGGACATTACTGCCTGGGGTACCCTTTCTTCCCCGTGCCCTCCACCAAAACCCAATTCAATTGTTTGTTTTTTTCAAAATAAAGCCTGGTTTTGCCACCTGAAAAAAAAAAAAAAGTACATCTTGAACTAGCATGCTTGGTGACTATAATTATTATGGTTTGGGTCTAAGATGTCCCCCTCAAAGCTCGTGTGCTTAGTGATTGGATTTTTGGAATTTGTTGGATCATAAGGTCTCTGATTTTATCAGTGGCTTAACCCATTGATGGATTTATAACTTAATGGCATAATTATGGGCTGAGGAAGACTTAGGAGATGGGACCTAATTGAACGGAGTAGGTCATGGGGATGTGACATTGGGGACTGTATCTTGTCCCCAGCCATTCCTCTGTGGCTTTTCCCCTCCTTTGCCTCCTGACTGCCATGAGGTACACAGTGTTGCTCCACCACCACACCAGGACACCATAATTTTCTGGCTTACCAGAGGCCCACAGTGATGGAGCTAGCCAACCATGGACCAAAACCTTGAACACCATGAGCGTAAATAAATATTTCCTTCTTTAAACTATCTTTCCCAGGATTGCCACAAGTTCAAGGCCAGTCTAGGCTACCAGTGAGTTCAAGGCTATCCTTAAGTACAAAGTGCAGTAAGACCAAATCACAAAGCCAAAATTAAAATATGGAAAAGAAGGCTGGCCAAATGGCTCAGCAGATTAAAGCACCTGCTTAGGCAGATGCAGCAGCTGGGGCTCGATCTTCAGCATGCTGTACCAGCCCCACCCTGGGGCACGCTGAGACTGTGATTGAGACTGGGTGTGGTGGCATGCGCCTGCATTCTCAGCGCTTGGGAGGCTGAACACAGGCGGATCACTATGAGTCCAATCTACATAGTGAGACCCTGTAGACCCTCTACTAACATACAGTAAATAAATAAGTAAAATAATTTGACCAGAGGGACATTGGTGGAAACTCAGAAAGGAGTTTCTGAATCTAGAAGTCATTCTTATGCATGGATAAACTGCAGGATAAACTGCAAGCAATCATTACTAACTAACGTGAGGAATGTAAAAGTAAAGGAAAAGTTTTATATACCATATAATCCAGAGCAAAATCTTGTTGAAACTAATAACTTGACTGAGAGTGAATCAAAGGAAAAATACCAACATCATACTGATAAAGATGTAAAATTTTCTCGCTGCAACAAACTCAACACTGGTAAGATGCAGCTATAAAATGTTACTTAACTCATCTCTGTCCAGCTTTCTGTTTGGAGAAGTTCTCCAAGCTGCAGATTAGGGAACCCAAAGAAAGCAGGCTCTGTGAATTCAGGCAGGCCAAGGGAGCTACATTCACAGAACAGAGCACCACAGAGGAGAGAGCTGTGTAGAGTTCTTGGACTCCCCTGAGTCCTTATCTGAGTGTGATTGAGGACATGCATAGAAAACAACAACAACAACAACAAACACTAGGCAGCAAGCAAAACCATTTCTGAGCTCACCCAGGCCGGAGAATTGCTCATGTTGCCAACATCCAGAGAGGCTAAACCTGTGGTGCAGGGAGAGAAGGATGACAGAGAAGTACAAGGAAACAAATACAGGTGATAGTTTATTACCTTGATTGTGGTGATGGTTTCACTGGTGAGTGCATATATTAGTGCTTACCAAATTGTACACTTTCGGTATAATCCATTTTATTCAGTTTTGTGTTAATGGCAATCATTACATCATTTTCACTTTTCTCAGAGGAATTCTATTGAGCAAAAATGTGTCAGGGTCAAGAGTGTGCCTTAGAAATACTGTGTGTGAAAGTGTTTGGCAGACTTTGAAATCGTAAGCAATTGTTAGTTTATATTATGTCCCAGTATAAATTTATTACTTTTAATATTATGAATTAACTAGTCTTTGTAAGGGCTGGTGATATCTCAGGGCCATTTTTATCCTAAATGAAAGTTTCTCAGGGGCCAGGGAGATGGCTCAGTAGAATAAGCACTTGCCTGGCAAGCACAAGGGCCTGAATTCTATTTCCGGGTCCGAAAATAAATGAATAAAAGTTTCTCATCATAGGGGCTGGTGAGATGGCTCAGTGGTCTAAAGCACCTACTTAGAACAAGCTTAGCAAAGCACAGGGACCGCAGTTCAATCCCCCAGCACCACATGCCAGCCAGCCCCACCCCCTGGTGGGCTGAGCTGGCCACACACACACACACACACACACACACACACACAAATAAATAAAAGGTATGTTGAACAACAACAACAACAAAAAAAAAGTTTTTCATCATAAAAAGCCTACTAGAGCTCTCCTAAGCCCATGGCAAAAACACAAAAAAACACCTTATATTATTGTTTCAAATCATCCTGAAGTATCTGCAGTTCTGTGGGATAAGAATCCCCTCAGCGAAACAACCTCTACCTCAGTCCAGACATAACATTCTGGGCTAAGCAGTTATTTGTTTGAGCCTCAATGACACCCAAATATACCCCTCAAACCTTTGTAATTTCACCCTTTCATGGAATGGCCAGAAACATTGGGCTATCCTCTTTTTTTTTTCTTTGTATTTTTACGAACATCTACCTTCTACTCTTCTGAGCCCACAAGCAATGTGTTCCTAAATATCATTCTAGAAATCTAAAAGTTAAAAAGCACAATGCTATTTTCCTATCCAGTTACTTTATTATTCCTTTCCTTTAAAATATCGCCAGTTAGTAATGTCAAGTCACAATGCCCAGCATTCGTCTAATCAAGATTTCTGGATATGGTAGAAAGCAGGAAAATGTGACCCATAATTAGTAGAAAATTAAATAGAAAACTGATTAAAAATAAACAAGATACTGAAGCTTCTGACAGAGGGTGGTACTGCCTGGGTTGGCCGTTTTCTTATACTGTATCTCCTGTGAAGCACAACAGCCTAGATTTCACACAATCTAATAGCAGGAGGCCTAAACTGCTCAGGCCATACAGACTGCTAACCCGGTCACCCTAACTGGCCAGATTTTGGTTTTTAGTTATGCCTGAAAACTGAGTGAATGTGACTACAGGGAGAGAGAGAGAGAGAGAGAGAGAGAGAGAGAGAGAGAGAGAGAGAGATTTCTATATATAGATATTTATATCTATATTTACCTCTCTACCTCTATCTCTATCTCTACCTATCTATATACTTTTTTGCGGTACCGGGGATTGAACTCAGGACACTGAGCTTGCCAGGCAAGCACCTATTCTACTGAGCTATTTTCAAACAGACAACACATGTCTCTGCAGTGCTGTCCTACCTCCCTGTGCTAGCAAAGCAACCTCTTGGGCACCTAATGTGGAAACTGTCGGGGACGTCGGAGAGGACAGATGCTGCTGCCGCCGGGCGGTTCCCTACCTCAGGTGCCCCAGGGCGCTGTAATCCCAGGACTGTGCACACCCTTGTCCTCTCAGCTACCCTTCCGTCAGTGCCAGCGCACACCTGGCAGGCCTAGACAGCCCGGCCGCGCTGCGAGGAGCCGCCAGCAGGTGGCGCGAGCGGGAGCCGGCAGCCCCGCCCCGGCCGCCCCTCCGCGCGCTCCGCTGCGACCCCGTTCGCGCGCGCTGTGCAGATCCGCGCGGAGCCGGGAGAAGACCGGCCGGCTATGCCGCCCGTGCGCCCGCAGCCTCGGGGAAC